TGTGTGTGTGTGTGTATATGAGTGTGTTTGTGTATGTCTTATATATGACAATAACATATACGACAATAATTGGTAGTCACGATGTGTGACATTTTTCTCACTGAATGGTTGCGTTTCTTGTCATTGTGCAGTCTGCACGCCAATGTTGCTCTTGGCAAGAGAAATGTTAAACAACAGTTGATAGGACAGAATGTAGTGTTGAAAATCATACTTGATAACATAGCCGGTGTAGCGACATATCAACGAAATACGCTGCCAGTTGCTGTGTCTTCAACATTCTTGATGCCAGAGAATTTCTCGTCTTTTGACGCTAGCAGGAATGCAAGCTTACGTTTACCTGTATGGGATATGCCAGTATAGCGTTAGAAATGCTTCACACCATGACTGAAAATAGCAAGGCTCTCGCACAGCACCATCGCTATTTCTACGCTGCAGTTACACAGACGAGTGCTCACTACTTTTATTGAAGGTGCCTTGTCAGTGGAGTGCCACTATTTTGCCGTCGCGTCTTTAACCACAACTGTAACCCCCCCCTTCCCACAATCCACACACACGCACATTTGTTTTGCAGGTGGCTGAAGGGTGCCGCTGGTAGGTCCAACTTCTTTTCTCACCCTCTGTTGTTTCTGTCCGTCTGTCATGCTCTCAATGACCGTTATCGTGATGATTTGCTTCTCTTTTCTCAAACCGGACCACCCTAGTTTGTGAGTGGCTGGCGGGAGCTCTAGTATGGTTTGTTCCTTCTTCTCTTTTAAATACCCGTCGTTCTTATTTTTCTCCTTCTTTCCTTTGCATGTTACTCCCTAGAACACTAGTCTGTGTATCTGTTGTGTAGAAATAGCGACAGTACTGAGTGAGAGCCGTGCTTATCTTCAGTCAGGGTATTTATCATTTCAAACTTCGATTCAAATGTGACCTGTTTGTGTTGTAAGTGCCACAAAACCCCGACAAATTCATCCAGTGCCAGATCTGCGACAGACATCGGCGATCATGGTTCTCCTTTCATTCCTTTGCTCGGATGCTCTTAAAAAAACTACGTTTCCCTTATCTTGCCCCGTTACCCATTTGTTTAGGTTCCCTAAGTAGGTTGCTCTGGGCCTACCCCTGCCTAGTTTGCCTTCAATGTTGTCAGTGAGATCTAGATGTTCAAGACCTTTATGTCTATTCAGGTGTCCCAAAAACTGCATTTGTCGTTTCCTGATTGTTTTTAACAGTGATTGTCCCACGTGGCACAACCTCATTTGATTTCTTTTCCTTCCACGATTTTCTCAGCAGTCTCCTAAGAAATCAAATTTCTGTTACTTTTATTTTCACAATCCTTACCCGCCCTTCTGCCTCCTCCCTCTCAGGAGCGTCCCGGTCACTTCCCACCCTGCCCCTTGACCAAGAGATGGAGGAGTCCCTGGACCGGCTCTTGCGCCAGCAGATCATTCACCGAAACAACGTGCACTCTTTTCTGAGAACCGGCTCCTTGCCCGTGGACTCGAACTCACCTCCTGGGGACCCCAGCCGTGCCCCTGGTTATGACGGTGATGGTGGCGGCGGTGGTGATGGTGGTGGTGGTCGAGAGGGGGGATACGCGCGTCATGGACAGCAAAAACAACAGCAACAACAACAGCAGCAGCAGCAAGAGCAGCAACAGAACCAGCAGCAGCAACAGCAGCACCGGGCAGCGGAGAGACCCACAAGTTTTCACCCAGGAGTAGCAGTTTCAGGGGCGTCGTATGGTGTACTAGGTGAGTCATATGTGTCTGTCTGTCTGTCTGTCTGTCTGTCTGTCTGTCTGTCTGTCTGTCTGTCTGTCTGTCTGTCTGTCTGCTTGC